TTGGAGGCCATCCTCAGCATCTTTCATCAATGGTTTGCGCTATTCAATATTCTGGAGGTCTTCGATTCGTGCTTGGGACCCTGCAAGGCTCCTGCATTGCAAGTAAGATCTCAACAAACGAGCGGGGACGCGATCAACGATCGGAGGGTACAGGTTAAGCTGTCATAAGACGATTCGACTGCATAGTTTACCATATAAAACAGCTGACAAATAATCTTGTCGTTTTCGTGCTATCGGATCGCCCTTTTTGGAACCGCCCCTGCTGCTCTCTTTGGGCTTGGGTGCGACGACTCCAGCAGTTTTTGGGCTCTGGGCCAGGAGATGCTGGGAGAGGCTCGAAGGGACACGTTGATATCCCCGGCTCTGTGGCCCCAGCACCTAGAAGCAGAGAGATCACGTCATAGCCAAAAGAACTTTCTGACCAGTCCCTGATGCCTGAGTGAATCCGCCTACTGCACCGACTGCAATCTGTGCTTCTACTGATTCTGCTTCTTGAAGTCTTGATCGAACAACCGGATGTCTTACTACGTTGGCAGCATGTTTGCCGGCCTCGGTCCTGCGAGCCTGCGAGCTCTGAGGCCCCCGGCGCTTTGCAGTGCACAGGGAACCTATCGGACCTATCGCAAGTTTCCACAGCTCGGGCGGCGATGCAGAAGCAGGAGGCGCGAAATTACTGCGTGAGAACTGCCATCCGAGTCAAAGTGAAGGCACTGGAACATGCAGTTCGCACATCATTTGGCGGGGGTGATTGATTCTTTGTAACGGTTTGTCTGGCTGCGAAGCCAATGTGAAAAGGCAACTTTAAGTCTGCTTTGGACAGAAGTGTGGCAACGTGACAGCTGCCACGGAGAAAAGGCGCTGACAAACGAGGCGACGATCCTAGCTCGAACTATGCACAACGCATTCGCGTCGACTGCACCCAGCACGTCAGTTTGAAGAGACAGGAGTCTAGTCTGTGAGTAGAACTTGTCTCTGCAGCACTCGCCATTCAAACTGAGGTGTGCTTCTTCTGTTCTTGTGTGCGAATCGGCATAAAGATTTGGGGCCTAGGCTCAGACGAAACAAAAAGCTATTATGAGTTTGCTGTATGCCAAGATAGGACTTGCAGATAAAGCAGCCCAGCTGCAAAAGTGAGGGAAGTCATCAAAATCTCACTACTGGCCGTCCACGTCGATGACGTCGTCCTTGCCCTTGGCGTCGCCGGGCGGGGGCGCCCCGGCCTCGCCAGCCGCTCCCTCGGGAGCACCCTCGGG